ATCACCTTTGTTCCTCCCTAATCTGTTTCCTGCCCGAACGCTGCAGGAACCACCCCAGGCGGGTGAGAAGGAGCAGCACAAGGACGCGGTGCTGACAGGAGGCTCTCCAAGGGCAGCAGAGCCACGCCATGGGCTCCGGCTGCCATCCAGGGCTGGGGAGCAGCAGGAAGGGATCACAGCGGGGAACAGGGGATGGGAAACAGGGAGCTGCGTCCCCTCCATCTCCAAAGGCACTCGCTGTTGACCACAGGTGTGTCTGTAACTCCCTTTTCTGCCTGTCGTTACCTCTGGGGGTGAAACCTCACCTGGCAGCAGGATCCTATGGGATAACAGCCATATATATATTGAATATATATATATATATATATATATGCAGGTATTTCTATAGGTGTATTTATTTCTATGGCTTGTCCATTGGGACCAGAATTTGCTGGCTTCTCTGCCAGCCCTGGGGAATTCATTCATCCCACTCCTGCTGCAGCATCTCTGCTGTGCGATGGGACTGCTGCAGCCTCAGTGCTTTTAGATTCACTCCAGAGAGTCCAGACCGTGCCAAAGTGGTGACTGGGAAATGATGACCTGTGTGGGGACAGCCAGGCTGGCAAGACAGACATAGAGGACATCGCTGCCTGCCAATGCAGGAACCTGCGTGGGATTGGAGATGCCGTGCCCGAGCCTGACGCTGCATGGAACAGCTTGGGTTGGAAGGGACTTTTAAAAGCTCGTTTAGCTCCAGGAAAGCTCCGGAGGGATGGATGTCCTGCCTTGTCGGCTGCCGCACGGCTGAGCGTGCACTAGGTGGCACGCAGCTGCAGGAGAAGCCTTGCGACAGCGGGGAGAGGCTTGGCTTCGGGGAGAGAGAGGAAAAAGCTGGGAAAAGCAGGCAGAAGGCAAAGCGGGATGAGTTCTGTCCTCTAATTAGCACTAATGGCGAGGTGAGTGTGGCCAGAGCAGGTGAGACAGGAACACAAGCCAAAAGACTCGGCTCCAGAGTTTCCCGGGTGGATTTAGCAAAGGCAGGGATGGGGAGAGCCTTTTGCTCGGGGTCGGGATGACAGGAGAAGGGGCAGGGGTTTCAACTGAGAATGTTAAGTTTAGGGTTGACTTAAGGAAAGAAATGTTTTATGATGAATGTGGTGAGGCCCTGGAACAGGTTTCCCGGAGAAGATGGACGCCTGAAGTGTTGGCTGGGGCTTGGAGCAACCTGGGATGGTGGAAGGTGTCCCTGCCCACAGCACGGGGTTGGAACAACCTGGGCTGGTCCCTTCCAACATAAACTGTTCAAAATTCCGTGATTTTCCCGGAGAAGGCAGGCAGTGGAACACGGAGAGCCGAGCTGAGCTCATGGGGAATCTCCCACTACCAGCAGGGACGAGGAACATGTCCCTCTCAGCATCGCAGGGGTTGGACAGCAAGGTCACCCAGCAAGAGGGGCATGTCCACACCAGATCCATCCCTGCTTTGTCTAACTGCTCCCTGGCAGAAAGCAGCAGCAGCTGCTGCAGAGGAAAATGAAACGAAATTTCACCTATTATCCTTTGCCTGCAGAGGAATTTCTTCCTAATTCCTGTCACTTTGGGTTTGTCTGCTCAGGGAAATTAATCTGAAATCGAGTGGGCTGTGAATTCAAAGTGCTGCAGCAATCCCAGCAGAGCTTGGACAGGCAGATTCCTAAGTGGCCAGGCTATTCCCTGGAGCACCAGGCTAAGCCTGGCAATTTAACAGAGCCTCGAGCATCAGGTTTGGTAGACATTAGTGTAGGACCTCGAGCCAAAACCGTGTGAGAGGGAGCAGCCACAGAGAAATTAATTCAACAGCCTTCCAGCACCACTGCAAGAAAAGGAGAAGGGGGGAGGCAAATATTTGGCTGGTTACCCCAGTGTGTGGATGGATCAGACAGGAGTTGCCACGTTGGAGGACTCAGTGCTTTGCATACTGATTTGGGGAGCATGCAGAGAAGGGTGTGGGAAAGAACAGCATGGGAAAAAAGGGATCCAGCTGAAACAAACAAAAAAAAACCATAAGGGACTATGTTAAAATCTGAGGATCATTAAGGTAAAAGTCATATAAAATATAAATATATTTTTGCAGGCAGCGAGGATTGTGAGGTCTGCATCCCTGTGAAAACAGGGTTCTTAGGGACAGCAGGACAACAAGGTGAACCTTTTAGACTTGGGGATCATCGAGGGTCTTTACAGCCACCCTCACACAGAACACTTGGAGGAAATTGTGCAGTGGGGTCTGACAAGCTCAGCTGGCCATCAGACCCCAGCTTCATGTTGCCCATGGCTCTGTTAACCCCTTTCAGGTTGCTGGACCATCTTGGAATAGGGTACAAGCAATAGAGGTGTGAGAAAAGGGAGACTGAGGACCAGCAGTGCACTTGTACCGCTCAGATGAGGTACCTCAGCCCGGCAAAACCTTCCAGGGAAGCTGATGCAAGATCAGATCATGAATTCCTGTTCAAAAATAAAACCTTAAATAAATCCAATGCAATTTAAGGCTCTTCCCACAGCTCAGCCACCACCCGACTGGTTTATCTCCACTGTCCAGCCCTTCCCTCCACCCAGGAGCTGCACCCAATTCACCTCTGCTCTCCTCCACCCTTATCAGTAGCACCCTTCAGCCCCAGAGCATCACCCCTGAGCCCTCACCCATCCTCTCTCACCAGCCAGGACTCCTCACTGGGAACACCCCTTTGTCTCCCAGCCGTGTCATCAACGTGTGCAAGACTCGATGGAAACCCTTCTTCACCATCCTCATATCTCCCTGAAACATTTTCCTATTTAGGATCACAGGATATTTAATATTTGTCCACCCAAGCAACCACATGGATCACATAGTCTGCTCCCAGCACGGCTTTATGAAGCATTCCTATCTATTTTTCAGGAAAAAAACCTTTGCATTGCTCTCCAGTTTCTAATTACAGCCGCAGGAGACAGGAATCCCAAGCACCTGAGTTGTAAATGTGAAACTTATTGCTTAAGCAGACACATTACAAGCAGGCTATCAATCACTACTGGCAATTATTAGTACTTTGTGAGTATTTTGATCTCAAGTATGTGACAGTCTCATCCATCCTGGGGCAGAGAAATCCATGGGCATTTGCATACGAGGCTGAGCTAGGGGGGGATGCAGCTCCAGAAGGTTTTCACTGGAGCTGTTGTGGTTATGTGCTTGGCATTGTACATTTTGGGATGAAAACCAACTTTATTCAGGCTCTGCAAAGATGAGTCTCATGTGTTTAAGCCTGGAAGAAGAGTTTTGTAATATCTCTCCATTCTTACAGTATAAAGTGGTTCTATATATTTTTGTTTATTTTTATTTTTTCTGTAACTACTGAGCCCAGACATAATGTTCTTTATTTTATAAGCCTTTTGGGACAGGTGTATCATGGCATGGGTGAATAAGTGTTGCTGGGTGTACTGGTGGACATTTCCTGGTCCAGAAGGAATTATGGTGATCTTAAGGGTCTTTTTCAACCTAAATGATTTTCTGGTTCCATGATTCTTTAATAACTGCTGCTAAGGCCTTGGTGAGGGTCCCAGGAGAGGGGAAAACCCAGCTGGGTCTGACCTACCTCTAAGAGACCATGAAAAAATGATCCAGCACCCTCCAAGATGCTCTAGGATGGAAGGAATCCCTAAATAAACACACATCTTGCAGGGGGGGTGATGGAGGTGCAGCAGCTGGGAGGGAGCAGCGCTGTGTCCTTGGAGAGATCTGTGACGGGGCTGTGTTCCACCATCCGCATCCCAAACAGGGAGCAGGCATGGCCAGGGCTTTGCCTCACGTGGGGGTGAATGAAACCCTCAAGGTGGTGAGCAGCTGATTGATCCAGGCTGGGTCTGGGGCCAGGGGTCACAGCCACATTCCCACAGGAGCTCCACACACAGCATTACACACACACACAGCATTACACACACACACAGCATTACACACACACAGCATTACACACACACACACAGCATTACACACACACACAGCATTACACACACACACACACAGCATTACACACACACACACAGCATTACACACACACACACAGCATTACACACACACACACAGCATTACACACACACACAGCATTACACACATACCCCATCACACACACACTCCATCACACACATGTACACACTCACACTCAGAATCCCCTGCACACACAGAGCATCTCAGCCCCCAGAACTACACATGCTCACACTCACAGGGATGGTATCACACCCATGCACACTGTCACATCATCCCCCACACTGCTGCACATACTGTCACACTCACACCCCCACCATCCCACGTACACATCACACTCTGTCACTATCGCTTACACAATCACTTTTCCATGTCTGTTCACACTCACTGACACACTATCACACACACTCATTATTATCACACCCTGTCACACTCACTGTGACACGTATCTCACACTCACTATCATACACTGTCACACACAGTCACTAACACACACTCACTGTCACGCATTCACTCATTATCA